GCAGTATAAATTTACAGTGCACCTCCCCAAAGCACACAGGCTCATTTCATTGACCAAAGGCTAGGCAGCATCCAATGTAACCTTTTAAAAAGACATTTCAAAATGTTGTTGGTCTTGTGTTCAAATATTAAAGTTAAATCCCCTCAAGCATGCACAACCACAACCATACCATAGGTAAAAGGTAGTTAAACTCTTTAATCTTTGAACAAAGAGGTTAAGAGGGTACAGAAAATTCTTAGGACTGACCAAACCAACCTCATTTCTGAAATGCCTGATGAGACAAGTAGACAATATAAGAGCATTAGGAACCGAAAACACTTCTTTACACAAGTTGTTGGAGGCGTCTGGAACAAACTAACCAGTCAGATCAATGAGCTACGAATATTCAAATGAGAAAGACGGGTCAAATTAGCATTCTCTCGTTCACAACACTTCTTGTTAAGGCGTACTACAACTGAGTGTGCCAGTGCAGTGTTTCAACAAAATTCCCATACGAGTACCGACACATTCTTGTTCTACAAGATCCTGCAGGAAGTAAGATTTAAACCTTCAGCCTTTGTGTTTATTATATCCTAGACAGGTTGTTTTTAGGATACAGAATGTAAGCTTACAATGAAAAGGATAAAAGCCTCTTCAACAGTTTGCAGAACGCAGTCCTTTTGAAGGCATAAAGGTGTTCTGGGATGCAAACAGCACCTTGAAACATTTTCAACTGACCTGCTTTACAAACACTTGACAATTCTTTGGGCTCTCGAAGATTAAATTTATGAAGTAGAAACAATTACAAAACTTCTTCAGACGCTCTTTTTTCCCCATCTCACCCGATTGGGAGTATAATGTACAACTGGGATTGGCCTAAACTAGGGCTGTCCATACCTGCAACAGGAGCTTGGTAGGTTTCATAGGATTCACAAGCTTCTTAAAATCTCAGAAAAGCTGTTAAAATGGTCTACATATTAGTGAACTAGAACACTTAAGGCTTCAGACGTAATGAAAATTTAGACAGCGCCTCTTCAAGACCAGAATTGCCTTTTATAGTGCACCCTCTAGTGGCCAAATCAGGACATTGCGTTACTGAGGATTATTTATCAGTCACTAAAATAAGTGGGGATTTACCACCTTTTCTGGATAAAAGCCCCCTCTTTCCAGAAACACCTCAGCAAAAACCATTGAATCATAAAATGAAACTGAAGCCTGCAATCTTTATAAAATACTATTAAAACGGCAGAAATAGAAGTGCAAGGCCATACAGACCAATTCTAAGCAGCGCGACAGCTGATTTTTTACA